AACCCCTGGGATTGGATAAAAAGTAAAATGATGGACACATACTTAGGTGGGTGCAGGAACAATTAACATGATAATGAAGCAATTTGTAGTATCTGTCCTGGCGCCCAGCACATTTGGTTATGCCCCAGGGGCTCCAGAAAAAGGGAAGTTACAAGTTACCCAGACATTTCAAGGGTGTGTTATCTTAGAGGCAAAAAGGCAAATGGGCTCAGTAAGGATCAAAGTTGATCTTGTCAGTGAAGATACTGGCCTAGGAGGTGACTACCCACCATAACTGCTTTTAGTTAAAGTTTAATTTCAGACCATCCTTTGTGGTGACTTTAGGGCTCTGAGTTTGCAAGACTGCCATGCAGGCCTCCCCTGAGCTTGTCAGGTCAGCATGTGGCCCCTTTCGTCCACAATTGCAATGAGCAACTTGCTCATTTTTTACAGAGTAGCAAATTGCTTAAATATTCAAAACAGCAAATACTTTTTGAACGCCTTGCATACATAATACATACTAGAGATATAAAAGGCTTCTGTCTATTGTATGTAATAGATAGACCTATATGCAATAATTCATTTACATAACGACATAAACACAAGTGGCATTTCCCGCAAGCGTCCTTCCCACAATAGGCGGCATTACAATGTGTGCGAGTCCTTTCAGGGTGTGCTTTTTCTAAGTGGAGCTAACATTGTCATTCAGGTCTATGTGCTCCAAACTCTGCTCTTTCCATTAAATAAAAGAATATATATATATAATTACTAATAAATGTCTGATATGTAATAAGCAGTCAATAAACACTAGGTGTAGTTTTCAGTTTCCTAGTTATTAATAAGAGAATTGGTCAATGAATTAGTGAATATTATGTCACCAATATTTTGTGATCAGCACTATACTAAGTATAGAATGTATAGGAGGGTTGAGGACTGAAGGGCATAGGATGTTATTTTCATATATATCCACCGTTACGGGTGGTGCAGAGAAAACCGTGATTGGGAGGATATTAGGTGTAAATTTTAATATAAAAGATATGAACCTTGATATTTAAGGACATACTGATCTTCAAGTTCACGGGTTACCTCAATCCTACATGTTATAAATGAGCGTTCCCTTGACATTAGTACAAACGAAGGCAGGGGAGTGTGGCAGCTGTTGCAATGGGCTGTCAGGCGGTGAGGTCGCCACCAGCATCTGTCAGGCACGCCTGCCCACGTGGCTCACGCACAGTATGTGGGGCCTGTGTCCCAGACAGGGGTCCTGGCACACACCCCGTGTTCCCGATCAGGATCAGCCTCTACGCCCCCACTTCCGGGACAAGGCACTTGATACTCGCTGTCTCCTGAGGCTGTTCATTCAGTCCTCAAACAGCTTGCGTTTCTGGAAAGTTCTAGGTGGCACCCCAGACCGTACCTGCATTTAAGAGGAACTATGCCAGAGTAAAGTGCCACTAAGGTTAGCTCCCGTCACAAATGGCACAGTTGATCGTTGTTTACAAAGTTGGAGTTTCTAGCGTGGCCAGTGTGGCTCAGTGGTTGAGCGTGTCCCATGCACCAAGAGGCCACAGGTTGACGCCCCGTCAGGGCACATGCCCGGGTTTCTGGTTCGATCCCCAGGAGGGGGCGTGCAGGAGGCAGCGGGTCAATGATTCTCATCATTGATGTTTCTTCTCTCTCCCCCTCTTTCTTCCTCTCCCTCTAAAATCAACGAAAAACTTTTTAAAAACTTAGAGTTTCTTTACCAGTGCATTTTCAGGGGCTCTATTAGCCTATAATAAGGGCAAGTCAGGCTAAAATTCGTAGCTTCTTCCTACAAAGGTTCCGTAAGCAGTAGGTCCTTCAACCACCTCCAGAAACAAACTCTGTAAGGGTTGTAGCATCTCCTGCGAACTTCAACGAGCATCACTCATTTTACAAAATTCATAAGTGAATGAACGATGGTCACATTTCTAGAAATCATGAGAAGTGCTTCTCAGAATTCCAGAATGCCTGGAGACACCCCTCCACACACACTAGAAATAATGCAAAATGCTGTTTAAAATTTAGCTTTTTGACCTAGTAAGCCTGGCTTTGCAGGAGGTGACAATTTAATTTACGATAGAAAATTTAAAAGCACAGAACAGTGGCTGTGCCCCACGGAAGGGAAGCCAGGGGCCTGGGCACAAGCCCTGCCCTGTGTGTCTGCGTCCCTGGGCTGTTCGCCTTGTGCTGGAGGCCGTGTTTCCATCCTGGCTGTGTTTTGTAACCTGTCTCATGGGTTTTTGCTGCCTCCGTGTTGTGCAGCAGAGCGTTTATTTGACATCGGCCCCCAGGTACCAGCTCGTGAAACCCATCGTGTGTGGGTAGCGTGTACGGTAGCCACTGCCCGTCTCTGTATCCAGTTGCGGTAGCCACTGCCCGTCTCTGTATCCAGCCCATGAGCCTTGAAGGCCAGAAGCTAAGCTGGTTTGACCTGGTTTGAAACGGTGTGTCCACGCACATTGTTAACATTCTTACCCGTTGCTGTGACGGAGGAGTTCTTCCATTCACTTTCTGCTGGGTAGGGTATTTTTCGTGGGTGTGTTCTGTGGCTTTCATGAGTTTGTCATATTTGTGCCTGGGGGGTCCAGAGCTACTTGGGGGCCTGGTGTGCTTATCTCAGGATCCCTGTGACTGGCTGAGCATGTAAGATGTCTGGCTTCCCACGTGCCTGCTGGACAGTTAAAGTTTGGCTAATCCCTCCCAGCTCCGTGGCCCTTCCAGGTCCCACCCCCTCGCCCTGCGGGGGCCAGTGCCTGTCACCGCTGGTCTGTGCTGGTCTGCGCTGGCTCCCGCAGGCCTCTCCCTCCCCCAGACCAACTCAGAGCCTCTTTTCAGTTTAAAAGTTTTACTACTGATCATTTCGGGGCAAAACCCAAAAGGTACATTTGATTTTCTTATTTTTACAGTTCTGGGATCTCTTTATAAACTTTTAAATGACTCAAGTAACACAGAAACAGAGCTAGTGTGAGCATATAAGCAATCCTGGAGGTCGTCAGGTAAAACGTTTCTCTGTAGAAGGTAGTTTGCTTGGCGGGAGGGTGTGCATATTAAAATTTGATAGATACTCAGAAATGGATCCAATTTGCCTCCAACAGGTTTTTTTTTTCTTTACGATTTTTTATTGTTGTTGGGTTTTTAGGGGGGGGGGGGGGAGGAGGAGAGGAAGGGAGAAGGAGAAAAATATCGATGTGAGAGCAAAACATCCATCAGCCGCCTCCTGGGGATGGAGCCTGCAACCCATGCACGTGCCCTGACCAGGAATCACACCAGCAACCGCCCACAGGGTGACACCCACCCAGCTGGTCCCGACACCGGATACACCTTTACCCCTTGGGTAGGTGGGGCGAGAGGCATTTCATGTAACGTGCATTTTTCTGACTATAATGGAGGTGAATGTCCTTTTGTATTTTATTGTTCAGCTGTTTCCGAGACAGGAAATAAGTCATTTTGTGCTTTAGGGGGCGTGAGGTGCCCCTGCTCAGAGGCTTGGTGAGAAGGAAGAGGACCCACTGCTCCAGGTGGGGTGCAGGCTGGGGTCCCCCAGTTCACTGACAGGAGTGTAACCTTCGCTAGAAAAGCACCAACTACAGACTCTCAGATCGGGTTCACCGGGCCACGTGCGGCGCGTCTCACCTGCGTTTGGATACAAACCCCTCCAAACGGTTACACTTTCTCTCGCCCCAGGAGGGCGGCGCTGCGGAGGCTGCCGGGTCCCAAGGCGGCTGGGTGTCCGTCGGGCCTGCCAGGTGCGGACGTGGACACGTGCAAAGCCCCTTCCGTTTCCCCGCGGAGGTCGGGGCACAGGCCACCCCCCATCAGGGCCGAGCCCAGGTCGCGGATGCTGGTCCCTGGACTCACCTGCCGGCCTGGCTTTCGGGGCTCACCCGCGCCTGCCGGTGCCCGCCCCCCACGTCCCTCCTCCCAGACACGAGTGCCCTCGGTTGGGTCGAAGGCGCTGCGCGGGGGCCACAGAGACGAGCCGGGGCGCGGGCACCGCCGGACACCTGGGGCCCCAGTGTCGCCTCGGATGCACCCAGGCCCTGTGCGCGGGTGGACTTCCCTCCAAGGACACAGGGTCACTGGCCTGCGGGGTCTCGGTACGTCCCAGCGACCGCTTCTCCGGCCCCGGGAGCCTCCGCGCCGAGCCGGCTGAGGAGATGCGCACTGGCGCGACCCGCGGCCGCTG